GGGGACATCAACTCGCGAGCCCTTAGTCCGCAAATGCAGACGTTATAACTCCGCTTTTGCTAATCTGAGGGTGCGGTTTATATACTGACATTTACTGGGGTCTGCCGTCGGCTCGGCTACTCTCAGCTAGTACTGTTTACTGTATCTAAACGCACACCCCTACCCCTGGCACTATGGAACATCTCAATAAAAAAAATAATGGTAAATAAACACGAAAAGTTACTCAAAGTACGTTAATGCGTTTCTCTACTCTATGTTCACTACTAATCACGCATGTAAGATGCCGGTCAAATGTCTCTGCAACAGCATATAGTACACGCGCGCCCCCGCCCATGTGCTGCGTCACAACACAACATGAATAAGAGAGCAGGTAGGAAAGCGGGATTTGAAAAATTTATCGACGATCGCTGTCATGTTCACGACCATCACCAGAACGAAAAAATCGCAGATCAGCTCCCAGTTGCATCTATGTGTACATAAGTTCATTGTTCGAATTTATAACTCTTGCCCTGTTGTTCTTACGGCTACTCCGCAGAGATAGTCTCGTGAAATCACTGCCAGGAAATGTTCTCTCTCGTGAAAAATGTAAAGAGGACGATCATCGAAAATCCCATAGACGCGCCCGCTTTTTTCGATCGATCGCTGTAGTCGGTGTGTGCATGACGTCATGCGCTCGCGCAATTGGTTGCTTGGCCTTGGCGGATGTCCTCGAAACGGAGCTCGGAGGCGGCAGCAACTCATACCGCCTCGCATTGGCAATGCGCCCCATTACTCGTGTATAAACAGACATCTCGGCTCTCTTTATATTTCGGAGGAGACATTCCTGCAGGATTTCACGAGATATCTCTGGCGGAGTTAGAGTAAGAACAAGGCAAGTTATAATTCAACAACGTGACATTTAGTGTACAAATAGATACCAAGATCATGGAAGCGTAGTGATGTGTATTCGAGCTGTGATGGTGTGAAAGTGCCAAGCGAGCCGCGTCGGAGGATACTTTCGCATCCCCGCTTTGCCTACCTGCTCTCTTAATTCATTTTGAATTTTGTGGCCGCAGCACAGGGCGTGGCGCGCGTGCGGTTTCTTGTGTGTTGCAGAGGAGCATATTGACGGCCATTTACAGCTGATTTTAGCCGCGAAATAGAGTAGAGCAAAACATTAGAATTTGGCTACCATTTCCGAACTCATTATCGTCGTTTATTTACCATTTCCCATATTTTCTTTATGAGACGTTCAGAGCTGCACACACTTAGAACAATCTGTCGCCACTGCTCAGGTGGAAGGTATTCTTACATAGGTGATAGCGCCTATGTAATAATGTAATAAGTAACGTACTCACGCTGCTTGCTGCGACGTATCGTATGAAGTTATATGTATATATAGAAAACGACGAAACAAGTACACCCTGGGATCGCTTGTGATGGTTTTTAAAAGAACACTCAATGGTGAGATTGATTTTACCCAGCGTGCATTGCGAATTCATTAGTCAGGTGCATACTGGGACGACAAGTCAATTTCACCACTGTGCATAGTCGTGCACGGGCGGCCCACGCGTGCCAGCTTGTTTATTTCTTGGTTTATCATGTCAACTCTATTATTTGCTCCTTTCAAATTGCACTGCCCACTTTAAACGTGCGGACAGGTTGGAAATACACACAAGGACACATACTGGAGAGGTCGGTCTATTCAGCGACTCATGCTAGTAGTAGTAGTACTAGTAGAACTCGTACTCTCACTCTGGTGTACTCACGCAATCTAGACTTTACGGCGCCTCAAGTTCATAGGAAAAAAAATAAAAAAAAAAAAATCAAAAAAAAAAGAAAAAAAAAGAAAAAAAAAATAATTTGTCGATATAGAGACATGCGGTCCCAATAAAACACGAATGTGCTAACCCGTCAAACGTCCGTAAACCTATTATATTGAATATAATATTATATTATCATATTGATGTAAACATGCACATTGCGGTTTTATTGCAATATTGGGGACCCATGACCATGTTCGCCTTCCTTGAAGTTGACTTGACGGGACTAAATCATGCTGTATTATACAGTGTGGCATGTTCAATGAATGTTTGTTGTAGGCCTGATACGTAGTATTGGACGCTCGCCCGAAAACTGCGACGCTCCTAAGGTGCGCATGCCGATGTTTCTTTTGTTTTTCTTTGTTTCTTTTTGTTTGAATCTATGTTTGCAGGGCTCGTAGGAAATGAGTAGCCCATGCTCTTTTGTTTCTTTTTTGTTTCGCCTTGTAACCTGGACACACAATCGACACGATTACACGAGTCTTACTAACTTACAACATTGCAAATTGTCTCAATCAAATGTTTCCATGACGTGCCAGCGTTGGCCCGCCAGTGTTTGTTTATTTGCCCGGATCCTGTTTTCGGATGCGGCGAGTATGCGCAGACTGACTACGTGTGCATGCTGCGAAACAAGAGGCGCGCTGCGCGCGATGCCGCAACTTAGAGTGTCCAGGTTTTGGCTGGCGCGAGCGTCCAAATACACAGTACAGGCCTACCAAATTTAGAATCTTGCCACAAACTAGGAATTTCAGGCCATTCGCAGTCTTGGGCAACCAATCTGCAGATTGCGCAAACTTGTCCAGTGTTACATATTTTTATTAGTCATTCTGAAGCATATAACGTACAGCTGCGCTTGGAGAATGTCGGATGAGCGTGTGTCGGCCGCACAGGCACTTGAAGCGTTTCAAAAAACTATAATGGCTAACTAAATACAAATCTACTTTAGCTACGCAAATTCTTAATGTTCTCTATACTCTCGTTTTACCTATTATTGCGATCAGGTTTCCTGTAATTCTGTCGAAATGCTACATTTCCAACATTTACAGCTGCCCGGCGCCATTGCTGTCGGCGGCGCGTACTGTTGCACGGGCTTACACACTTATTTTATATTAGCAGGTAGCGCAAAGCAGACGATCGCAAAATTTCGCTCGAGTCGCTCGCTTGATTTCAGCACTTTCACAGCACAATTACACATCCAACAGCCTTCCATCATTTTGTTTGTATGTCTAAGACAAGTGTATTGCCTTGTTATAAAACATCATGTATCTGTTTGAACCGAGCTGTGTCACGGCCGAAAATCACACAAGAGACTGAGCGAAATTCTCCAGCTCGCGAACCTAAGCCTGTAATGTATATGCATGCATGGGTTTCTTCTGTAGGGGAAAATTTAGACAAACGGAGGTACATGCCGTTTGGATGGAAAAAACGCGCGGATGGACTTCAAAGGCGGTGCTGTAGCCACACATGCGGACACTGACAGTGATTGGCCGCGCGGGGGGGCGGGGGAACTCCCCAAAATTTAAAAAATTTGAATGTCTTAGACTGCATTTGAGAACATTTTCACAACGACGATGTTAAATTTGTCAACAGCGGTGCGCCACTGTGGCTCTTATGTATAAGAAGCCCTGACATGTTTGTGTGGTGGAGAAAACTATTAGTCTCACACCAATCTTTCAATGACGTATGTAAGTAATCACATCTCTAGAACTAAACTCGACCTACTTGTTGACACTTGTTTTGGACCGTTGTAGCGACCATTTGTGTGTGACCATGCTGGATGTGACAGGACATATGCTAGAAGGCAGCATCTAGAGAGACACAAAGCAAGTCACGATGAAAAGCACTGTCGGCAGAGTTACCCGTATGTACATTGTACACAGTATATGTAAAGTTTAAATCTGTGTAGTTTTATTGCATTTATCATATGTTTAGTCTTACGTTATCATGAAATCCATGGAACTTATTCGGAGAGTTATGGTTTCTAAGCTAAACTGGTTTGTTATGCAGAAATTTCGAGTTTTTCTAATGAAAATGACATGAAATTTGTGTTAATTTCAGGTGTCAAGAGCCAGGGTGCGCATCTGTGTATGCGACCCCTCAAGCAATGCAAAAACACATGAAGAGTAAACATCTACATGCATTATATAAGGTTGTTAATACTACTATATGTTATTTTTAACTTACCATTTGTAATAATTTGAAATAGTTAAAATCTTTTTTAATTTACTTATTATACACACACCTGAAGTGTTGTGCCCACATTTAGTGTAATAATTCAAATGGGATCAGATCGTAGAACGATGCGGACGGCTTCAAATATCTGAAATATTTGATTTAGAATTATGATATAAAGTCTATGCTTCTAATAGAAGTTCTGATTACAAACTGGAAGAATGGTAGTTGCTGATTAATTAGGGTTGATTTACTAAGATTAGTTTATAATGACTGTGATATATGATTGTGATTTATTAAATAGTGTGAGCACGACAAGTGCGGCAAGCAATTCAAGAAGCATCACTCATTGAAAAAACACGAGTACGAACACACAGGTGTTCTTCCATTTGCGTAAGTACATATCCGATGTATTCAGTGTAGAAAATATACGTAGTCGTTATGACATAGTTGATGCTTGTTGTTAAATTGACTACGTCACAAATTTTCCATGGTAAAATTTGTAAAAAAAAATTGCCATTTTAACTAACGTTACTAATATCTGCCTCAAACATCTCAGCCCTGATAAAATGTTTTACGTTGGTTAAATTTTGCAAAAATGCTAGACGATGGTAATTTCTGTTGGTCTAACACTGATTCCGCCGCAGTACTGTTTCAGATACCTGGCGTCTCCTGTTTTCACTGGCAAATTAGGGCATAATAAAAGCAGGTATATAAGCATGAAATAAGTAAACAGAAACACTAATTGTATTTTCATACATTTTATTTTGTACAAATAACACACAAATATACTACTTGATGGTGCTAGAAATTCGTGACGTAATCACTTTAACATATTCCTGTAGCTGTTGTCAATATTTCTTGTCCTGCCCCGTCCTCCTCTCTTTATTCTGTCTCTTAATTCTTTCACGTGCTTCTCGTCCCTCTTTCTTGCATACAATTGAATAACATAGTTTGCAGTGATATGTAAGATGTAATTATTAATAGAATATAAGAAGTAGATGGTGAGTGGTGGTGTGCTTTAATTACAGTTGTTAATTAAGGCTTGAATTACAGGGGCCGGTTTTACGAACCGTACTTAAGTATTTAATCATGATTAAATCACTTATCATGATTAACTTCCCGTACTTAAATTGAAGTGACTGTTTTACGAAGGCGTAATTAACTTTAATGCATGATTAAGTTAATCACAATATTTAATTCTACTCAGGAGCGTGATTAAATCCACTAATCATAATTAGTTGCTAGTACTAGAAGTACGTAGTATGTAGGTAGTATAGCTTTACTTACGGAACAGTAGCGCGCTTAGGTTCATAGGGTTATTTTGCAGCTAATTTTAGGTTTATAATTGAGGCATAAAAAAAGTTCATGGTTCAATCGGCTCTTGAGAAATATTTTTTAAAAAATGTTTTAAAACTACGACTTACAGTTTGATTACAACGCGGTGGCGCCACTCAGAGAGGCGCACGATGCTGAGAAGTCTGCGCAAACCATTTTCACACCAAGGGCTAAGACCGAGGCGTATTTCTTATCTTATTCATTTAAAAGGCGAAAAGGATTGTACATATCCTTATAAACGACATATAGTTTCAGTTATAATATGGATAAAGTTTGGCCCTAAAAATGAAATATTCGTCTCGCCGCCCTTAAATAGCTTGAGGTATAAATATAATTGCACTTTTGTGATTAGCACCTCGTTCATGTTACCATGCAAAATATAAATCCAAATACGGGCAACTTTTTCAGGGTGGCAGCACGGTCGCGGTGTCATGGCGCCGTTCAAATTTCGTAGGCGTTGATGTGTAACATATTAATTAAGTATCTGGTGAGCAAATACATGTGGGTAACAGACGGATTTGTTCATACAGTAAGTAGCAGTTGTATGGCAGTAAAAATCCTAGAGGCTACTGTCCCTTTAAGTGACCGCTGCAGATTTTACAATTGAAATTTTACTCAATTTTTCCCAAGGAAATTTAAATTATCTAAGATTAGGCTAATACTTTAAGATTAGCTGTACTAATTTAGTCATTATAATTGCAAATTAATTCCTTTTCATGTACCGAATTTGCAGATACTTTTGGCGTTGTCCGCCATTTTGAATACAGTGTAATTCATGTTTAAGTCGGCTAATTATGTGATTAGTTAAATATGTACTTAAATCGCTTCGTGAAACAGATTTTTAAGTATGATTAACTAATCATAATTACAGGAGGTTAAGTATGATTAGTGATTTAATCATAATTAAAGTTAATCACGCTTCGTGAAACCGGCTCCAGGTGTGCTTTAATTACAGGTGTGCTTTAATTACAGATGTGCTTTAATTACAGGTGCGCTCATGAGGGCTGCGAGAAACGTTTCCTCCTTCCAAGCAAGCTGAAGCAACATGAACATGTCCATCTAGGTAGGAAGAGGGTGGGTTGTGCGATCGTGAAGACGAAAACATACTATGCAGGGTGCGAAATTAACGGGAGTCCGGAGTCATATACTCCCTGATTTATTGTCGGACTCCTTGATTTGACATATGCAGGAGTCCGTGTGACTCCCTGAAAATTCTGCCGTACTAACTAGTTTGTTCCGGAGCACGGCCTCGCGGAATTACTGTATTTTTTTAGCTAATGTCCAAAGAAAATTTGGCAGACGTACAGCTGCATGAATCTTAAAAATATGCACATGCGTTATTGTTAATATCTTTAATTTTGATTTTTGAACCTCAGACTACGGACTCCCTCATTTTGCTGCGGACTCTCTCTTTTTGAGGGTAGGGACTCCCTTGTTCAAAAGTTAATTTTTACTCGTGCTATGTGTATCTTGTAAGAAGTATGCAGTTTGATGTTGGTAAAAATTCCTGAGCATGACCAGTTCTAATATGTGTGTGTAATTTTCTGTTGGCAGGAATAACGTGTACCGAGTCAGGGTGTGGGCAGGTGTTCTATAAGTGGACACTATTTCGCAAGCACAAATCCTTGGCTCATAAGACAAGTATATATTTTACTGATAATCGATACTATGTTTCTTCGACTGAAATAGTTGCTCCTGTAGCTATAACTAGGTGGCAGCACCATCAATTAATTTGATTTCAAACACTTGGGGGGCGGAGGTTCATTCAGGGATGATATAATTTGTAATACGTCGCCTATACCCTTACGTATTAACCATCGCAACTCTGTGTGCGTATCAATCATTTTGCTGCATTTACATTCCAATTGTTGCTATAACTATAATTCTCGGAGAGCACACTAGGTGGCAGCAGCGTGCAGTGTTTGCGTGCGTGTACTTGCAGCGTACGCGTGCGGAGACTGCAGCCGCCGCTTCACGCACCGGCGGCAGCTGCGGCAGCACGCCGTCACACACAGCAGCAGCAGGGAGGTATACGCGTGCCCGCGCGACGGCTGCCCGCGCGCGTACTTCGACCAGCGGAACCTGCGCCAGCACCTGCTCTCCTACCACAGCGGCAAGCGCTTTCCATGCGAGTTCGCGGGCTGCGAGCGCACGTTCGCGCACAAGGTGAGTCCGCCCTGCTGGTAATCGTTAAGAGTACGAAGGGGTCAATGTTAAGAAGAGCGCGAGGAGGTCAACGTTAAGAGCGCTTCCCTAGACTCGTTAGTGGCGTAGGCGAGGTACGGTCCGGCATATTAGATAGTAGTATTTAGTACCAGGGTACGTTCCGGTATACCGGACCGTACCCTGGACCCAGGGTACGTTCCGGCAGTACCCTGGGGGACATAGACCCTCCTAGCTTAGTCTGCAAATGCAGACGTTTTAACTCCGCTTTGCTAATCTGAGGGTGTGGGTTTATATACCGTACCCATTACTGGGGTCTGCGTCGGCTCGGACTACTCTCAGCTGTACTGTACTGTATTAAACGCACACCCCCATAACAACAGGCACTTGGAACGTCTCTATAAAAAAAATCATGGTAAATAAACACGAAATGTACCAAAGTCTTAATGTTTCTCTACTCTATTTCACCTATAATCACATGTAAATGCTGGTCAAATGCTCATCTGCAACACATAAGCACTGCACGCCCGCCCGCCCTGTGCTGCGTGCACAAACAACATGAATAAGAGAGCAGGTAGGAAAGCGGGATTGAAAAATTCGTTCGATGCTCGCTTCATTTCACACGATCACAGAACGAAAACACATCCAACAGCTCCCATCTTGGTATCTATGTGTACATAATCGAATTATAACTCTGGCCTTTGTTCTTACCTACTCCCGCCAGAGATATCTCGTGAAATCCTGCAGGAAATGTTCTCTCCGTAAAAATGTAAAGAGGACGTATCATCCGAAAATCCCTAACGGCGCTTTTTTCGATCGATCGCTGTAGTCGTGTGTGCGTGACGTCATGCCCGCGCACATTGTGCTTGGCTTGGCGGGCCTCGAAACGGAGCTCGGAGGCTGGCAGCAGCTCATCCCGGCATGCAATGCGCCCCATTACTCGTGTATAAACAGACATCTCGTCCTCTTTATATTTTCACGGAGAGAACATTTCCTGCAGGATTTCACGAGATATCTCTGGCGGGAGTAGGTAAGAACAAAGGCCAAAGTTATGATTCAAACAAGTGAACATTTATGTACACATAGATACCAAGATCATGGAAGCTGTAGGATGTGTATTCGAGTTGTGATGGTGTGAAATGAAGCGAGCGTCGAGCGAATTTCGCGATCCCGCTTTCCTACCTGCTCTCTTAAGGCCAAGACACACTACAGCGACAGCGACCGACCGTAACGACAAACGACAAAGTCGCGGCGACTGGCGCAGCCACACTGCAGCGACAACGACCGACGTAACGATAATCTACGAACGTAAACAATAATCACGTATGATGGCTGTCCGCAGCCTTGCACGTTTTGGTTAGATGGGTTCGCGGCTCCACTGTTTATGACAAGCGGTGCGAGTTTAGCGCTGAGGACCA